GAGTTTCATGATATAGGAGAAAAATGGAATAGAAAGGAAATAAAAATATTTCTCATGTGTGTGTTTGATTTCTGAAATTTGAGAGTTATAAGTCATGGAAATAGAAAATTTTCCATTATTAGCCACATTAGTTTCAAAACTACTTTTGGAAAAGTTACACCAAGCTGCTTAAAATTCTACCCAATAACGTATGTATATTGTTGGAAATTTTAGTCCTTAGTTTTATATATACAAATATTGAATGCAATTGATGCCACAATCCTAATATATTTATTTCAAGTATAAATCTATAAGGTTTAGTATGTACTTCTGTCTCAAATTTTATTTTTGTCAAGCACACACATGCGTAAAAAGGAAACAGAATCAGAAATAAAGACCTCCTGTTTCAAGGGAGTTCCTGGCTGCCGTTCTGAAATTCTTGATTGGGCAAGTAGAGAATTTGACCCCAAAATAAAGCAGGATGAGAGGGAAAAGGAGGTGGCAATGCCTATTCACATTTTTTGGGCCACTGCCCACTTACAGGCCCCATGCCAGAGATGACTCTGGCATTCCACACAGGGGATGCTGCCCACACAAGCCTCTATTGGAGAAAGCAGAGGAGAAGCTCTGTACCGATTGGTTCCTTGAAACTTTGGGTATATGGAAAAAAAAAAAAAAAAAAAAAGGAGCTTTGCCACTCAGTTTGTGAACCAAGAAAGAGAGCTGGACACTGGAAGGAGTTTCTGTATCTTTCTTGGTAACCATTATGTGGAGTAGTGCTGAAAATTAGAATGAAAGAATAGATTTAAACAAATATGCACACATACACACAAGACAATGCTGGAATCAAAAAGTAGAAAATATTTGAAAAAAAGAAAGGTATTTGACAACTTAGCAAATTCCTTGCCTATTTTTACATAAGTTTCTGATATAGCATATGGAAATCATTAGTGTTCTTTCTGAGTTAGATTGGTTAATTATCACAAGATTTTATTATCAATGCCATGTGAACCTAAAATTTTAAATTGTCTGAGCAGGGAGGTTTTGTGGCAGGTAAAATTCTAAGCTTATGAAGAACTTTCAGACCTGTCAATAGTACCCAAGGAAAATCATAAGATTCCACGTGCATTTTTCAAGTCACTTCGGGTCATGCTTTATGTTTTAAAAACTAATGAAAGTTCATATAAATACGAACGCTGCACCAAGTCGTGACAGACAACCACTGATGTATTGCATAATTATAATAAGATTGTTTTTATTTAGTCCATCTATATACTCATGGCTTTCTTTTCTAATAAATGTGTACCCCTGAAAATGCCTAGTAAGTACCTGCACAGTAGAAAGTATTTGGTCATTCTAAAGTCAGTTTCAAATGTGCTTCTTCACACAGAGACACACACATGTGTACTAACACAATTCTTCATTGCATCTTCTCCAAGTTAGCAATATTTCATAAAGTACATGGCAAGAATGGCACCTTCAAGTATTAATCTGAACATAAATCTATACTTTCAATAGTTTATGACACACTGTTCCATAGAGGAATCTGATGTACAAAAAAAAAAAAAAAAGGTGGGGGTAATGTTAAATTTTCTTACTTGAAAACAAAGCTGTCTTTTCAAACTAAGGAAGTTAAGGTCTTCCATATTATAACTAAGTGATTTTCACTGAGGATCATCTGAGTAATTTTTGCAACATTCAGGTAAAGTACTCTTTGATTCAACCAAACACTGAAGAACAAAAAAATAAAAAACAAAATAAAACAACTGAGACATTTTCTCAAGCTGCTGGGTTGTCAATAAGAATTTAGACTGTTGCTATCTTGTGCCACTATAACCAACACTGCAAATGCAATGATGACTTTTGTGACTATCTGAAATCTTCAGTTTCTGAGCACTAAGGACAGCAATGATAAAAAGGAAATTATCTTCTTGAGATCAAGAGCTTTAACTTTGTACTGTACACATGGAACAAAACTGTTTCCAGAGATCACATCCCTTTTTTGTAGGAATCACCCTAAAATCTGAAATCGGAATAATCATACATCTCAAAGATTTTAATGTAGGATATACAAAGGCAGACATTTTTACATAAAATGGAAGTTTTGTATTGAATCTATGTGGTATGAAATTCTAAATTCTTGTCTCATAAACTGATTTCCTGACTTTTAAAAGAAAGTATGTTTATCAACAGTTGTAATCTGCCAAATAGTAAACTAAATGTACATTTAATATAATTAAAAGCAAAGATATAGAATCCTGACAGGTAAATTTCTCCGGCACATTTGTCTCTGTCCCTCACCTGTTAAAAGATCAAACACTGTCCGCTCTGATAATAACCTGATGAATGAGGTTCCCATCTCCGCTGTACCAACAGCTACCTCATCCTCTACAAAGGTCAGCTGCAACTTGATGTAAACGTAAATATTCCTTTAAGTCTAATTAAATTAGAGATATTCTACTTATGTAATTGGAAAGAAATGTTTTCAGAAACTTAAAGTTACTTATAAGGAAATTTATTAAAGTTTCTATCCTAGACTATCTTTGGCTTCCATTAATTTTAATAAATCTAAGATTTATCTACACAACTACCAAAAAACATGCCCAAATGTTACAAAACTGCACACTAAACACTTCAGAAGTAGACAAAACTGGGGGAACGTCTGTGTCAATCAGTGGTACATGAGTCATAACTTACTCTGGAAACATGGCTACTTAAAAAACCAATAGCTCAAGATACAGAAAGTTTCTGAAGATCTATCTTGAGCAAAGGAAAACATATACACCTACCTATTTTGTGTATGTGTGCATGTGCAGTGCTTTACAATTATTAATTTGCAAAGAAATCATTTTATTTAAAATCAAATACTATATTTCTAAGAAGCAACAATTACCAGGAATCTCTGAGGTCCTTTAAATGTGATCATTTCACCTTATCAAAGCAATGAATGTTCTTTGTCCTTTGTTTTTTGTTCTGCATCTGCATTAACATGGCTGCTAATTATATTAGCCTGGTGGCACATAAAGTCTGAATGGGGAAAATCACATGATTGTTATAGAACTTCCTTAAGATTTAAATGTATCCTCGCTTAGACTGAACATGCCTACATTACAAGTACCTTTATTTTGTTAGAAAACTTAGCTTTGATTCAGAATTTCTGTTCCATAAGCGACGTAGCACCTCTCCAATACACCGTCGGATATGTGCACACATGAACAAAGACACAAACACACACAGAAATCTTTAGCCGTATCACCCCACTTTGTATATTTAGTTTCATTTGTATATTTAGATTTTTTCAAAATTGTTAAGTTCTTGAGAAGTTTGTGTTCATCACACAAAATGCCACATAGATCCAATGCCATAATAAAGCCCTACTAAGCCAAATGATTAAAAGTTGAATCACATTTTAAATTTTTTAAATTGAAAATAGCCTAAGAATGCTCTTACCCGCCCACTCATTCTCACAGTTTTATGATTTTACACAGTGAATCAGCAAATGTATTCTTTTCTGAATCATATATGAACATAGGAATGTTTTGAAAATGTTTATACAATTTGGCATACTTGGCCTAACCAGTGGTTTCACCAAGTAAACTCTCCCATTATTCTGATTAGCTTTATCATTAAGAGTAAAAATCCTTTATTGCAAAACTTAGATGAGTATGTAGCAAAAAGAAATAAACTGGTTTACACATCACTGAAAAAAATTATATTCTTAAAATTACATTTATAGTTTCACCTTCCTTTTCTTATAGTCAAGTGCCTAAGTAATTCACAGATCAAAATAAGCAGCATGAGATAACTTTCCTGGTGAAGAAAAACATCCCAAAACAATAAGCAACAAAAAGCACTGCCCCAGCTACATAGTACACAAAACAACAACAACAATGACAACAAACGCTGGGGCTTCAAGACTACTGATAAACAATGAAGACCACTTAAGGTATTCTTTTAACAGTTTCAACAGCAAATCCTTGCTCTTTTGAACACTTTACTGTTGAGCTCTCAAATCTCCTTCAGTCTAGTTGTCCTTTCAGCCTTTATGAAACATTGTTGGAAATGTGGGTGGCTTTTCAGACTAATTTATACTTTCCAAGGAAAGCTATTTGATAGCAGGAGTGAGCAAGTACTCCTACTTCAAATTAACCACTTACAGTGGTATATTTTGCACCTCTAAACTATCCTCAGCCCCTCCTATTGCCCTTAGAGAATTTAAATTCAGAGACATGACGTTTTCCATTACTGGCTTCTTGCCTCTTTGCAAACGTACAACATTTCTCAAAATGTATATATAATTCTCCATCCTATAGGATCAGACAACATATCTATTTCAGGAGCAATTACATGCATAATGTAAGACAGAATATTTTTCTTAAGAATTGTTTAAAATAATTGTGATTTAAAGGCTACTGATTCAGTTTATGGCAGTGGTGTTACTGAGTTTATCTAAGTATTTCTCTTCAATCTACATACTTTTAAAACTCAGCGTGGCTTCTAGATCAGACCGCTGTAAGGATACCATCTGCCCTACATAGTGGTCTGTTACAGCATTATACTTGTAAGAATATATTCCTTGAAAAATAACACACATCAATGAAGAAACAAAGATGCTGCAAAAAAATAGTGTATGGAAGAAAAGTCAAAAATTCCATATCTCTCTGTCTTAACACCTGTCTAGTAAATTATATGTGACAACCACGTTGTTACAGTAATAGGAATGCAAAGCATAAAGGAACAAGAGATACATCTTGCCTTGCTTAAAGAAATTAAAGACAAGTTTAACCCGCACCTGCCAAACTGTCTTCAGAGGAACAGAAATAGGTGGGGGCGGAAAGACTCACCTCTCCTGTACCCCACAGTGCCTCTCCTGAAATCATTTTAAATATAGGCAATATATCTGTCACCTTTTCTCTTTTATTTCTCCTTCCATTCTAATCAATGGCAGACCCTTTACTGCACTCCCCAGCCCAGTATCTCAAAGGCACATTACAGAATAAGAGGACCCAAGTGTCACTTACCAGTTGCATGCCACAGATAAAGATAAGCGTGCACCTGCCACTGCAATAACCCATGGTTTCTGAGACCCCTGCCACAGCCAGACTGTCCCACGTCGGCCACCGTCGAGCCCCCACTTTATCCAATCAGATCGCGGGGAAGGACAGGCAAACCTGCCGAGGGCTCGGGGGCTCCGGGCTGCTGCTGCCAGCGTCCTGGGAAGTGACAGGCATTAGGACCTGCTGGCGCGGCGGCGGCGGCGGCGGCAGCTCCAGCCGCGCCCGCCAAACATACCTTCACTCGCTCGGTGCACACGCCGCGCCGCGGGCAGCGCCGCCCGCGGAGACGCGCCCGGAGCCCGCAGGGGCAGCAGCGGCAGCCTCGTAGCGCCGCCGCGCCTTCAGGCATCTGGCCGCGAAGTTTCGCCCCCGCCGCTCCTTGCGCCGGCTCGCCCCACGCCCCCCAGCGCGGCCGCCGCCCGACGCGCGCTCGCCCGGCGCTCTCCGCGCGCCAGCTTCGGGGGCGGCAAAAGCGCGCGCGGGGCGCTGCCCGCCTCCCTGCGCCGCCCGCGGCTCCTCTGCGCCCAGCGCTGCGGGGCCAGGCGGGCGGGGGCGGGGCGCGGGCCGGGCGGGGGCGTCCGGGCTCCGCGGTCCCGGGCGGCGGCGGCGGCGGCGGTGGCTGCCGCACGCAGTGATGCCAGGTCCGCGCCGCGTCCTGCAGCGGCGGGGCCCCTCCCCTCGCCCAAATGTGCTAATCCTCCTACAACAAATCCTTCAACAGCTCCCCGCCGCCCCTTCCCGAGACGTGAACTTCTTCGCAGCTCCGCAGGGGCTGCAGCTGAGGGGCTGTTGGCAGCGATGTCTAGGCGGGAAGAAGCGACGCAGGAGCGGTGACTGCGGCGGTGTTGACGCTGGGGACCTCGGGGAGAAGAGTCCGGGCGGAAGGTCCGTGGCTTCCTGGGCTTGCGTGGGTCCCGTTCCCGCAGCCGAGCCTGAAGCAGCAGGCGCGAGCGGGCCGCGTGTGTGCGCCTGTGTGTGTCTGAGGTGAAGGGACGCAGAGGAGGGATAGAGAAGGGGGGGTGGGGTGATGAACTAGGGGTGCAGCCGCGGCATCCTGGCCGGTCGGAAAGCCCGCCTGGCGGACGGGAGGAGAAGGGCGCCGCGGCCGCAGACGCACTGCCAGCCGCCCAGCGCCCGGCTCCGGAGGATCTGAAGGGCCGGAGCGTGGAGAGTTGCGGAGCCGACCCCGCTTGGGAAAAGGGACGGGGTTCCTGCCAGAGTTGGTGGGGAATTGGGGAAACGGAGAGAGTAGGGACACAGTGAGTTGCCGTTGCTGCTTCAAACTGTTTTCACTCGAGAAATTGAGGAGTCGGAGACAATTTTAGCGCTCAATTACTACAGCTTTAAGGACCGTCCCAGCTGGGTGTGGATTCCTGAAGGTGTTTGCTCCAGACCCCGCTCCCGAGCCACGGCCAGAAGCTGGGTACAGGCTCCTGCAAAGACCCGCTTCGGAGCCCGCTGCTGCCACCTGCGGGCGGAAATCTGAAGAGCCGAGCAAGTTGGTCCAAGTGGCGGCCTCCGGGGTCTGGGTATTCAGGATCCAAGGGTCAAGTTTCCTTTGTAACTCCTGGAAGCTACTGAAAGTATTACAGACTTTCCCAAGAGGTGAAGGGGTGGTGTGGACATCCGCTGGGGAACTCAGTCATTGGAATGAAGAGTTGAGACTGATGAGAAAAGAAAAGGAAACCACAAAGCAAGCATGCCCCACACCCCATAGGATAAAGACAGATGAAACCACATCAGGCAAGGAGCTTTCCATAGTAAATGGGATTTGGCCCTTCTGATAAAATGGCATTTGTGTAGGTTAATGTTATGCTGGGAACCACAAATAAGGATCCCAAATGATTGCTTCCTTTGAATAAATATTATGACATATCAGAATGACTAAATATTAAGAAATTGAATAGGGCATAGGAACCCTAGTCTCCAGAAGTATGGTACTAAATTTTCAGAAATGACTTGTCAATGGTCGAGAGCCTAAAAGGGATCTGATTTGTTAAATTTTTGGAATGAAGATACTTTATTGTATGAAGATACTTTATTAATGTAAATGTCTGCTTTTAATTGCCCTATTTGTAAATGGGCTTTTCTCTGAAAAGTGTCTTTCAATGCTTCATAGAATTAAGAGAACCAAATCTATGCTCTTACCCACTGCCAGACCTGGTGGGTAATACCTGCTCCACAACTCTTGGTAAAAAGAAGCCAGAGGTGTCTAGTACAGATGTTTCTTTTTGTTGTTACTGTTCTGCCTTATACACGTTAGTTGTTCAGTAGCTGCTGGGGATGCAGGTGTTTTGGACTACCAAACAAAAAGAAAGCTGTTAAATTGATGTTGAATATCGAAGAAGCTCTTACCATATTACAAGAAGCATGATATTACCTTTTTTAAATTCGTAGGAGCCACAATGCATGTGGATCCAGCAATAATCCTGCAACAGTTTCCCTGCGACCACCGTCTTTAGACTCTCTAGATTAAAGGAAAGCATAATGGTATCAGTAGCTGACTCTCAGTGCCCTGCGCATAGTCCCTGAATAGTTGCCTTACAGTACATGCCCACCTTCTTTCTTCAAGCACTTGGGACTCTCTGTGTACAGGCTCTTTCTAGCTACAGGAGGTGCTGGACTCCAGAGTGAAGTTACAGCTGTGAGAACAATTCTTGCCCAGTAATGGATATGGGACTTGGTGGATCAGTACCCCAACTTCTCAACCCAAAGATGGGAAATCCTGAGACATACTCTAGTCAGCATCATTAACCTCCCAACCAGGATTGAGCCCATAATGTCCGTGGTTGACCATATTGTTTCACTCCTGCATTCTGAATTAGCTTCCTTCCCTTCCTGCCTTATTTCCCTTCTCCTGTACCAGTGTTCCCTGGGTTTACCTCCCAAAATAAATCACTCAAATCCTTGTGTCAGGGCTGCCTCTTGAGAAGCCCAACGTAAGGCAATCTGCAAGTGCTTTTCCTGTTGTATCATAGGCACATTATTCTCAGAGGAGTGAACCAGGTACATGTTTGGTGTTGAACATTTATTATGTGCACCTACTCCCTTACTCCATGCTACACCTGCATCCTCTCATTCATTACTCACAAGAAACCAATGAGTTAGTGAGAAACTCATTTGAAAGATACAGAAGATAGGATCTAGAGCAATGAAGTATCTTGTTCACAGGTGCACATTTTCCTGGTGACATAATTAGTGTGTAAGGGCATGTCTGTGGGACATTGAAATTCACTTTCCAAACCACTGTGCTGTACTTTATCGATATTTTACTATACTTCCTTGTCATTCTTTGGGAATTCCATACAGAAATGATGACTTAAAAATATTTAGGAGAATGATCACACATATTTTATCCCTTTTCCTAGCTTTATTGAGATCAAATTTTGTTATCTCTAAATTAAGTTCACTTTGCATCCTTTAGATGTGGTATACACAAAGCCTGACTTAGGAAAAGGTGCCCTAGATAGGGATACAGTTTCATTCCTTAAGGCAGCTATGTCCTTTCTGTTCCATTTCCTATTATACTTGGAGCCTTAGGGAAAAGACTATAAAGAGAATCCCAACTGTCCCATTGAAGTGCATGTAGCAGGGCAATGTCTCAAATTGGAATGTCAATTGCACTTTCATTTAGAAACAGCCATATACTCTTCAGCTTTCCTTGACTGGTCTGGTGATACAACTATTGCTAAGTATCTTGTTTCTGTGGGGAGAATGTGTCACACATTACACATCTCCAACTGACTGACCTTTGCATCCTACTTTAAAGTAACTTTCAAGGTTATTTCCCGCCTATTATCTCATTTATCTCAGAACAATGCATGGAATCCAGTGACTACTCAGCCACAAAGTTGCTGTCTGCTCAACAACCAATCACTTGAACAAAAGCAGGAGCTTAAGTCTGGCTTTGTAACACCACTAAGCAATTTCACTCTGAATTTTACTCTGTTCATTATACTTCAAAAACATAAAGGCAGCAATTAACTTTACAGTCACAAACCCACAAAATTGATTCATTGAATATTTTATACAAACTTGGATTCTTTGTGGAAAATAATAATATTTTCAAAATAAATTTTAAAAAGAAAATAATCTGGGGTGCCTGGGTGGCTCAGTCAGTTAAGTGCCCTGACTCTTGGTTTCAGCGCAGGTCACCATCTTAAGGTAGTGAAATTGAGCCCTGAGTTGGGCTCCATGTTCAGTGTGGTCTGCTTGAGATTCTCTCTCCCTCTGCCCCCCCACCACCTCTCTCTCTCTCATAAGCAAATCTTCTTTAAAAAATAAAAAGAAGGGCGCCTGGGTGGCTCAGTCGGTTAAGCGACTGCCTTCAGCTCAGGTCATGATCCCAGAGTCCTGGGATCGAGTCCCGCATCGGGCTCCCAACTCCACGGGGAGTCTGCTTCTCCTTCTCACCTTCTCCTCGCTCATGCTCTCTCTCACTGTCTCTCTCTCAAATAAATAAATAAAATCTTTAAAAATAAATAAATAAATAATAAAAAGAAAATAAAGAAAAAATAACCACACATAATCCTTCTACCTGGAGATAATCTGTCATTTTTGCACAGACCATTTTTTATAAAAATGGGATTATATCTCCATAATATATTTCAATCTGCTTTTTCTTTTCACTTAATAATAACATATGTCCAACTCATTGATTATTAAGCTCATGAGTTCTGCAGCCAATTTAACTTCATATTCCAAGCTCTGCTGCCATTTACCAACCATGTAACCTTAGGCAAATCACTTAGCTTCTGTGCCTTAGTTTCCTTATCTCTAATGGGTAAGAAGTAGAAGGAGTAATAATGCATATATATCATATCGCTGTTGAGAGGGTTGTGTAAATGTCAATATAGGAAAAGTTTTCAAAACAGAGCCTGGGTGCCTGGTGCATAATTAACATTTTAAGATACTTAATTATCATTATTCTGCATACAATATAGCTTTTTTTAAACATTTATCCATTTTATTTTATTTTATTTCTTTTCGGTGTCACAAAATTAATTGTTTATGCACCACATCCAGTGCTCCATGCAATATGTGCCTTCCACAACATAGCTTTAATCACTCTATAGCATTCTAATGTAAGAAAGTCTCCCAATCATTTATTTATTTAGTTAGTTATAGATTTTATTTCTTTATTTGACAGAGAGAGACACTGTGAGAGAGGGAACACAAGCAGGGGGAGTGGGAGAGGGAGGAGCAAGCCTCCTGCTGAGCAGAGAGCCCGATGTGGGGCTCGATCCCAGGGCTCTGGGATCACGACCTGAGCTGAAGGCAGACGCTTAACAACTGAGCCACCCAGGCACCCCACCCCAATTGTTTAATTTTTATCCTTTGCTTAGACATACA